GGCCCACACACCGGGGGGGGGGATAAATAAATAATATATAATAAAACTCTCTTGTATACACTAAGGTCCTACACATCCACACCACAAAAGCTCTATCCCCTCCCTGTCATGGGTTGGGTGAGGCCACATGGAGGGAGGGGGGACCAGATGGAGCAGCAGGGCTGGATTTTAGCCGTCCTGATAGGTGGGGGTCAGCTGTCCAAATCGGGTGCTCCTCGAGGACAGAAGTCCTTGCAGGACATAGGAGCTGGGGCTGCGTTTGACGGGAGGAAGCTGGTTACCCCAGAGACCAGAAACTCTGTTCTCCATGTGCGCCCTGCCTGGTGGGGAGCATGGGAGCTGGCTGGGACCAGTGGATCTGGGACCTGGGAGAAAACTGACAAACCTGGATTGCTGAGGAAACAGGCTGCAAGAGAGGCCTAGGCCCTCGTCAATGGCCTTAGGAGTCAAGGCTGGGCAACCATTCATCTATTCCTGTTTGTAGGACCGGGTCCTTCCTCCACAGAGCAGAGAAAGACCCTGTTGCTTGTGCTAACCCTCACAGTGGACCCCAACCCATGTGCAGGACCCACTTCAACCTTTGCTGATGGTCCAGCCTCTGCCAGTACCTTTAGGAACTTGCTGCTTGCCAGCTGCATAGTCATCTCCGTAGAGCTAGCCCAGTGCCCAGTACCAGCCAAGGTGAAAGACGTCAGGTACGTCATCCAGCTGAAGTGGTCTACAAAGCACCACTAGCCAGTGTCCAGACAGGCCCAGGACAAATCCAACACAGCCACCCTGGGCTCTGCCATGGGGGGCAGCTTGCTTTCCCTTATCTGTCAATAGGGGAATGACAGAATCCACACTCAAGAATGTTAGCAAATCCGCCTTGTGTCAGGCAGGGCAGGAGCCTGATAATGCAGACTGTTCATGGGACTAGTGGCAGGGCCTGTTGGTTTCTGGAACTCTCTGAGAGTTAGATCCCTACCTATAAAATGAATATGTGGGGATTTTTTTTTTCTTCCTGAGATGTGATTTCATGTAGCCCAGACTGGCTTTGAACTCATTATATACCCAAAGATGGCCTTGAACTTCTGATCTTCCACCTTCGGGGTGCTGGGATTATAGACATGTACCACCACCATGCCAAGTTTTATGTGGTGCTGAAGATCAGACCCAGGACCTCGCAGATGCTAGGTAAGTGCTCTTCACCCTGAGTCACATGCCAGGTCCCAGATGTGTGCGTCTTGACTACAGTCAGACCCCAAAGCATGCCGGGCCCTCTCCTTCCACCTTGATCATCTTTGACGGCCTCTGACCCCTACCTCTCTCTGTGTCTCCATCACGGCGTCACTCTGTAGGTCCCAGATGTGTGTGTCTTGACTACAGTCAAACCCCAAAGCATGCCGGGCCCTCTCCTTTCACCTTGATCATCTTCGACGGCCTCTGACCCCTACCTCTCTCTGTGTCTCCATCACGGCGTCACTCTGGGCCTGTCCGTGTTGCTCCAGTCCCTGCCTGACTTGTCTCTTCCCTTCTCCTGTCCCTGGGGAAGCAGTTCTCTTTGGCTCTGCCGAATTCCCTGTTCCAGCGGTGACATGGGGCGAGAGAGAGGGAAAGCAGCAAGACCACATATTGGTTCCAGATGCGCCCTCTCCCAGCTCTCTCCAGCAATTTAATTAAGTTCCCCAGACAGCCAGGAGGGGTTCTTAATGATCAGATTTCCCCACTGCCTCCTCCAGCAGCCATGGGCCCACTCTGTCTCTCTGACGGATGGTGACTCGTTCTTCCTGCTCTGAGTTGGTGTGGCCAGCAGGGCCAGAGTGCAGGGACTGACCTTCCCTGGAGCAAAGGCCCTTCCTTGCTGGCCCCCCAACCCTACCCACTTTTCCCCTTCCCCACCCTCAGGGATCCAAGCCCTCTTGCTGGTTCTTGGCAGAGCTGGCTTGGTTAAGTGACTAGAAGGTACTCAGCAGGTCTCTGCTGAGTTCTGCCCCTCCCCCAACTGGTCTGCCAGTCAGGACCCGAGGCCAAGTGGGCAGCAGTGGGGCCTCTGGGGTGGGGGAACTTTGGGGCCCACTCATCTGCCAGAGGTTGGAGCAGACCCAGACCTCCTGGGCAAGCAAGCTGTTCAGCCAGCTGGGCAGACTGACCAAAGCACAGAGAGGGCAAGAGCCTGGGCCAGGGTCATTCTGGAGCAGAGGCAGGCTGGCAGGGCTAGGAGGTGCTGCTCTTTCAGGGATGGGTCTGGGCTGTGTCTCTCAGACTGTTTCTCCACACGTGAAACTGGGAGCCATAGGCAGAATCCTTACGTGGTAGACTCCGAGAGACCTCTGACTTCCGGAGTAGCAGAAATTGGCCAGCCCCCAGCCCACCTCCTTATGCAGACAGGCCTCCAGGCTGGCAGAGCCCATGCCAGACTCCCTCCTCCTGTCCCATGACCAGAGACTCTAGAGCTCTAGGCATCTTCCCAGGCCCCTGGCTGCCCACCGCAGTCCTTGCCTGGGCCCAGCTTAGCCATAAGTGGCCATCAGAGCCCCATGCCATGACCCAGCACCAGGGACCATGTTCAGGGTCTGAAGAGGAGGGCAGTTGGAACTGAACTGAGGTCTCACCTTGGAGAAGGTTTCTTGACCAGTAAGGTGGTTAGGGGAGTGGAAGATGGGGCAGCCACTGGGAGCACAGATGTTCCAGGACAAGGGTGAGAAAGCCCTTCCCACTCATCGCTGAGTGCCTCAGTTTCCCCCTCTGAGCCCACAGAGGGAGCTTGTGAATTGGGGCCCTCTGTTTCCAGTATTAAGACTGCAACTGGGCCTGCCAGTCAGTGACTTGTTCCACATAAGGGTAGAGGGTCAGGATGGGTGGGGTTAGGAGAAGAGAAAGGAAGCCAGGCTGGGGCTGGACAGAGCAGTGGCAGAGGACAGTGACCCAGGATACTACTTCAGAAATATGCCCAAACCATCTGCTCAGCACCTTAGACCTGTCCAGGGGCTGAGCTGAAGTCAGATCTGTCTGCCACGATGGAACAATCCTGTGGTGGCAGCGGAGGCTTCCAAATATCTCACTCAATGGAGAGAAAGTCCACCAGATCCTAAAGGAAAGGTGGGAGGGGAGGAAAAGATGGAAAGAAAGAACTTTCCCCTGTTCCCAGCTCTGTCAAGCCTTCTAAAGGACACAGTTGGCTGAGAACCATGTTGGGAGTCAGGGGCGGGGAGCTGAAGGAGCTAGGATGGGGCCAGGGACACCACCTGTCCTGGCACAACAATTATATATTGTGTATCTGAGAAAGTCAGCCAGTGTGTGTCTGTGGGTGTGTAAGAGCCTTGATAGGAGAATGTGTGAATATGCCTGTGCCCCAGCATATCCATGCACAGTAGTGTGTGTTCTTGAGCAAGTCTGAGCAGATGTGAGAAAAAGCATCTGTATGAGATCCATCGAAGACGCTAACATGAATGTGTGAGGTGCGTGGGGGGGGGGCAGGGGACAGAGAAATGAAGCCAGGTTGGACAGTGGCCTCCCATGATGGCCTCCAAAGACTCAGGGGACCCAGGCTGCCCTCAGGTAAAAGCCACTGTGGCTGTCAATGACCTTTCTCTCACTGTGGGGCTTGTGGAAGCCCTGGGGACCGTCTGCCACTGGGGCGCCAAGTGAGGGGTGCACCACCCAGGCTTGGAGGGCCAGGACAGGGAGTTCAGGGGTGGGGGGGGTAACCTGCTTGGAGGGAGGATGGAGGTGTCACTAGATGGGATCTGGAGAAGGAAAAGGTCTTCCTGATGCTGCTGGGATCTGCCTTCAACCCGAGGCAGGGAGTTCAGGGGTCTGGGGGGGGTAACCTGCTTGGAGGGAGGATGGAGAAGGAAAAGGTCTTCCTGATGCTGCTGGGATCTGCCTTCAACCCGAGGTGTAAGAGGTGCACCCAGCTGTTCCTCCACTTCAGCTTGTGGGCGGTTTTGAGCCTCAGGTAGGACACACTGACTGGGAAAAAGAAGGCAATCCATAGAAGTGCAAAGAAGAATGGGCCGGCAAGATGGCTCAATGGGCAAAGGTGCTTGCTGCTGAGACTGACAATGTGAGTTCAATCCCCGGACAGAGGATTGAACCGAATTCCACAAGTTGTCCTTTGATGTGTGAGTACACACCACACACACACACACACACACACACACACACACACAAATGTAATAAAATGTTTTCAAATGTAATAGCTCCCAGAAATAACCAACATGAACACGTCAGCATAGGGCTGTCGGGAGTGACCCCTGCAGGTTGTCCTATGGGCATCTGACGGTAGCCAGGCCTCTGTGAGATCCTTTGCCAAATGGCTAGGATCTGCACTAGGTCTGGTGCATGGCTGTTCTTGTTACCTGTTGTCATTGTTGATGGACAGCTGGCAAGGTGACCACCTCTGCCTCTTGCCTTTTCATCTGTGCAGGTCCTATGCCTATTGGTAACTTTTGCTTTTTTTTTTTTGAAACAGGGTTTCAGTATATAGCCCTGACTGGCCTGGAACTCGCTATGAAAACTAGGCTGGCCTTGAACTCATAGAGCTCTGCCTGCCTCGACCTCTCAAGTGCTGGAATTAAAGGCCACCATGCTTGTCCCTTTTCGTTGATTTTCGACAGTTCTTTACATATGAAGGTTACCTCTGTACATTAGTCAGAGTGACTCCCAAACTTCCTGGGGGAGTAGGAGGCAACCACAGAACTCCCCAACTCTGGGTGTTTGTCCCTCATCTGACTGAGGAACTCTGGAGTTGGATGCCAGCATGGGGCTGGGCTGACCAGGCAGGGGTGACCAAGCAGGGAGTGAGGGTCATAGCTGAGAGCAGAAGCACTGAGTGACAGAGCCTTAATGGGAGGCAGATGGAGGAAATAGGATTGACCTTGCTGACAGGAGGGAGGTCAAGGGACACTGGGCTTTCTAAAGACAGGAGCCTGTGTGACAGACAGGCAGCAGGGCCTGGCTCCACAGTGTGGTGCCCAAGGGTTGTGAGAGGGCAAAGGTCGGCTCCTCCCTCCTGCAAGTCTAGACCCTCTAGGGCCCAGAGCCAGAGAAACCGTGGGGACCCTTGGAGCCCTGAGGACAGGTGAGTGGAAAGGCCCCATAGATTTGGGGGAGCGGTTTTACCAGTTGTGCAATGTTGGCAAACTTCGAAACCTTTCTAAGCCTGTTTTCTTACTTGTGAAATGGAGTATAATGTCATTAATTTAATAAGATTTCACAGGACCAGTGTGCAGAGGACTTACCCCAGGGCAGGCACAGAGCAAGGGCATCATATATGCAAGTTAACTCTCGCATGGTTTTGTTTGTTTACATTTATTTATTTGTGTGTGTGTGTGTATACAAATGTGTCACAGTGTGGAGGTCAGCGGACTACCTCCCCTTCTACTACGTGGGTCCTGAGTATTGAATTCAGTTCAACAGGGTTGGTGGCAAGCCTCTACCCTCTGAGCCATCTCACCGGCCCAGTCCTTTAACTGCCACCCCTGCCCGCCTCCACCAGTCATCAGTGACATCTGGGCTCATCCATTATAGAGAGGCTGTGCCCTGTCTTCCCAGAGTTCCACTGAAGTGCTATCCTGAGCACCTGCAAAGTTAGCTTGTTTGGAAGAAGGGTCTCGCAGGTGTCATGAGGTTCAGATGAGGTCACTCTGGATCAGGGACTGGAGCTGTTGAGAAGGGAAGAGGCGATGTGGACATCGGCACAGACCCAGAGCCGCAGGCCTCAAGCAGCCTGAGGCTGGTGAAGACAGGAATTGTATTGCCACCAGCCAGTGGTGCCCAGAAGTTGGAAGTGAAGGAATGAGCAGCTCTGGGGTTTTAGAGGGAGTGTGGCCCTGGCCACACCTTGGAGCTTAACTTCTAGGCCCCCAAACTATTGCAGGAGGTCCCCTGTACTGTTTGAGACAGTTGGGATTGGCAGAGTCCGTCTTCCCTATCCACAGATTCTACATCCTCCGGTTCAGTAAATCACAAGATGAAAATATTTGGAGAAAAAAGTTATGCCTTCAGAGCTGGGCCTAGAGATGCATGCTGGTAATCACAGCACTTGGGAAGCAGAGGCAGACAGATCTCTGTGAGTTCAAGGCCAGCTTGATCGACATTGCAAGTTCCAGGCTAGCCTGGGCTACATAGGGAGACTGGGTCTCAAAAAGAAAAAGGCCGGACACTGTGGTACATGCCTTTAATTCCAGCACTCAAGAGACAGAAGCAGGCAAATCTCTGTGAGATTGAGGCCAGCCTGGTCTACATAGTAAGTTTCAGGCCAGCTGGGGCTACAGAGAGACCCTGTCTCAAACAAACAAACAAACAAACAAAAATTGCATCTGAAAGGTAGGACTATGGCTCAGTTTGTAGTGTGCGTGCCTAAATGCATGAAACCTTGGGCTCTTTTTCCAACACTGAGTAAACTGGGTATCATGGCGTGCACACTGCTAATCCCAGCACTCTAGAGGTTGAGGCAGAAGGATCGGGTGCTTAAGCTACAGAGTTCAAGGATGGCCTGGATACAGGAGACCTTGTCTCAAAACCAAGTTGTGTCTGTACAGCACACATACAGACTTTTTTTTTTTTTGACATTGTTCCCGTGATCAATCCAGCACAATTGTAACTGACCTGGCGTGTACATTGTGTTGGGTACACAGCCATCTAGACATGATTTAGCACATGAGAGGATAAGGGTGTCTATACAAATGCTATGTCATTCTGTATAAGGGACTTGAACAACCATGGGGGTTGGTATGGGGCTGGGGTCCTGGAACTAGTCCCCATGGAGACCAAGGGACCAGGGTGCTTTGGCACAGCAGCTCTGGGGAAGCAAAGCCGGGCTCAGGCCAGCTCACCCTGCCCAGCTTTTCCCCAGACACCTTGCTAGGTGCACCTTATTATTAATATTTAGCCATAACACAAATTAGGTTGTTTGAACTGCCTGTCTAAACCTTGTTCAGTCAGGTGTAGAGGTATAGCCTGTGATCCTAACAGTTGGGTGGTGGAGGCAGGAGGATCAGGAGTTCAAGACCAGCCTCTGATATTTATCCAGTTCAAGGTCAGCCTGGGCTACAGGGGCCTCTGTCTCAAAATAAACAAAACCAAATGCTCCTCTAGCTCAGCCTCTCTTGGCCTGCGGCGGGTGTCAGGCGGAGAGCCTACAAATCCACTTATAGGGTGGGGCCACCGCTGTAGTGGAGCTGCAGGGGCACCGACGCCCACGTGGGCTATGGTGTGACACTCACATGTCAGCCTTCTGGAATCACAAGGTTGGTTGCAGGACTCAAAGCTGCAAAGGGGCAGATGCTTGCAGATTCATCCTGTTCCCTCCCAGCTCTGGGCCTAGGTGCTTAGGCAGGTGTGATTATGCCCACTTTACAGAACAGGAAATGAAGCTGCATCCCTCCCCTCAGTGTGACAGGTTTCTGAATGATGCACCCCACTCATAGCCGCCCCCCAGGGGAAAAAGCAGGCAGGGGTCAAGGGATAGTCCCCATCGTCCGTGGGGAAGGTGAGGCGGGAGGAGTGAGGTCAACCGGAGACCAGGTGACTGCAGCCCCTCCTGGAGGACAGGGCCCGGTCCCCTCCCCGGGATGCTGCAGCAACCCTGCCGTGCGCCCCAGCTGAGCTCAGGACGCCGCCCAGCGGTCACACGCGGGATCGCAGGGCGGGTCGGACCCGGAGCTTTGCTTGGTCCTCCCAGGCGGCAGGAGGCGCTGTGGCCGCACTACGTCCCTGGGCCGGCGCGGGCCGGAAGTGCGGGTGGCGGGATCATTTCCGGCGCGGAGCAGCGGCCTGGGCGGAGGAACGGGCCGGGCGCGGGGCCTGAACCGGTCGAGCGAGGCGGAGCGGGCGTTGCAGCGATGCCGTTCCTTCACGGCTTTCGGAGGATCATTTTCGAGTACCAGCCGCTCGTGGACGCCATCCTGGGCGCCCTGGGCATCCAGGAGCTCGAGCGGCAGGAGCCACTGGACGAGTGAGCCGCGGGGGTCCCACTGTGGTTGTCGGGGCGCGGCGGGAGGAGCTCGCGAGGACCCCGCTTCCCAGCGCGGGTTCTGCAGACCCAGCAAGGTCGCCCCGAAGCCGGTGGTCGTGTGCACCATTGCAGGGCACCCTGGGACTCGGGATATAGGGCAGCCCTGGTGCTGCAGGCAACCTTCCCCCCCACCCCCCGAAGTCACTGCTTGGCGTGGGGTGCGGTGGAGGGCGGAACAGAGGAAAAGCGTCGGGGGAGTCGTAGCTGGGATTTCAGGCCCGGTGGTCCAAGGGTCTCGCCAGGGACGCCTCTTCATCAGCCGTTTTCCTTCGTGGCCTGTTCCGAAAGTGCAGTGCGAGGCCTTTCCAGAACTCAGAGGCGGAGCTGGAGTGAGCCTCCCTGCATTGCATGTTGGGGAGACCGGTGTGTTTAGGGAGGACTGCCCCAGATAAGCGTTTTGTGTCCGGGCTTGAGTCCAACCTCCGGCCAGCCTGTTTCAGGACCTCTGGTGGGTGAGATTAGGGAGCTGAGGGCGTGGGAGCCCCGTGGAGAGGAGGAGGTGACCTCTGAAGGAGCTTGGGCTGGTGCCTGGGCGAAGCACCAGATGTGGCGCCCCCCTCCCCCTCCCCCCAGGCCAGAGCGGCTCCTTAAGAGGTTAGGGCTGGCTCAGCAGGGTGAGGATTGGGGGGCAGGTTTCAGGGCGTCGTGGCAAAGGACTGAAGATAGGCCTAGGCCTTTCCCACCAAGCCAAGGAAGTGACCACAAAACAACTTGAGACCTTTGTCCAAGAAAGACCTCTGCGCCACTGAGCGTGGGAAGCTTTTTTTGGGTGTCTGTGGGAGGGCACACAGGCTGGAGCAGCTGGTACCCCAGGAGTACCCGCCTCAGCTGCTCCGCCTTGCTGCCCAGTTATGCTGCCAGCGAGGAGAGCCGGATCCTGGTCCTCACCGAGCTACTGGAGCAGAAGGTGCACTCTCCCTTCTACCTGGAAGGGGTGAGCAATGCCTTACTGAAGATGGCGGAGCTGGGGCTGACAAGGGCCGCTGCTGTCCTCCTGAAGAGTGGGGCCAACCTCAACTTTGAAGGTCAGCCGGGGCTCAGAGGGGCTGTGTGTGTCAGGGAGGCCTGCGGCCCTGCTCTGGCTGGATTAGGGTGCTGCTCTTCCTCTTCAGAGTGGACCCCCCCCTCCATTTCCATTGGTGACCTCCCACGCCCTGTGGGCTTTCCGTGACTCTTAGCACCTCTGTTCCCACAGTGAGTGCTGCTGCTTGTACCTCTGCGCTGATTTAGCCAAGTCACTCTCAGATTAATCCTGCTTCCATTAGTGTGAAAGTATAGCTGTTGGCCCAGAGCCAAGGGAAGGTGATTTTCTGTCACTTTGAGCTGGCCTGCATTTTTGTTCAGGCCAAGGAGAAGGAAAAATAAACCATACTGGGCATTGGTCACCACAGGGCCATGTAGGTTTCGTTAAGTACCAGGGATGGTGATGGGCCAGTCTCTTGTCCTGCCACTGGCTGTCACCCAGGAAGGCAGGATAGTCAGAGCTGCTTATGAGCCAGTGTTTAGCCTACACATCTTTCATGGAAAATGGGCTCAGGAGGCTGTTAGGGGCACCTGGGGATCCAGCAGTAGAGGAGGGGGCCTGTCCTGAAACCTGTCCCTTTGGTGACCTGGCCTCAAGAACCTGGCTGCAACCAGGCACGGGGGCACACTTGGCAGGCTGAGGTAGAAGGATCTCTGGTGATCCTGGGCTACATAGTGAGTTTGAGGCCAGCTAAGGCTGCATAGTGATACCCTGGTTCAAAACCACAAAAGATCGGCTGCATTTCCAGGCCCGTGCACAGCAGCCAAGGGGCAGCCACTCTGCGTGTTCCTTAGGAACAGCCCTGAGAGAGGACACACCACTGGAAGAGGAAACTGGGACCCAGGCAGGCTAAGCTGCTGTGTTAGTCACGTTCCTGTTGCTGTGATAAAACACCGTGACCAAGACCACGTAGAGAAGGAAATGTATTTAGCTTCCAGAGGGATGAATCCTTCATGGTGGGGAGGCATGGCAGGAGGCAGCCAGGGCAGAAAGCTTGCGTGGACATCTTCAAACAGGCAGAGGAAGCAGAGAGAAACCAAAAGTGGGTAAGGCTGTTCGCGCTCAGTGCTTCCCAGCAAGGCCACGTCCCCTAAACCTCCAAAAACAGCAGCACCCAGGAAGCCTGTGGGGCAGTTCCTTACCAGGCCAACACAGCTGCATGGCCACTGGAACACCCAGCACCTCAGGCTCAGCACTTGAGGTGCGAGTGCTAGGGAGGGACTCTGACCAGGTCCTGGACCTTTGAGCATCTGTCACAGAGAGGACTGACCTGAGCTGCCTGTGTCTTCAGACCCCGTCACCTACTACACAGCTCTGCACATTGCCGTTCTGAGAAACCAGCCTGACATGGTGGAGCTGCTGGTGCACCATGGCGCTGACATTAATCGGAGGGACCGGGTGAGAGCAAGGCCCAGCCTGCTTGGGTGTGTGTGGTAGGGTTCTCAAGTGGCCCTGCAGGTCACAGGCCAACCTGTCCGGTGCCACCTCTGACTCAGATCCATGAGAGCAGCCCCTTGGACTTGGCCAGTGAGGAGCCTGAGCGCCTGCCTTGCCTGCAGAGGCTCTTGGACCTTGGAGCGGACGTCAACGCAGCTGACAAGAATGGTGGGCACTCCAGTGGGGAGGTGGGCCAGGCCTGGGGCCTGGGCACCTAGGAAGGGAACCCAGGACAGATAGCATCTAGGTGCTGGCTCCGACACATGGCACAGCTATAGCTGGCACAGAGGTAGAGGGTGCTGACCTGCCCAAGTCCAGCACCCAGAGGCTTTGGTCACTGTCCCCATGCCATCCCTGAAGGCATTGGAGGAGGTAGGTGCACCCGGCTTCTGTAGAGTGATGGCTTCCTGTTTGGAGTCCTGGTCTGGGACTTAGGTAGCAGCTTGGGGTATAGGTAAATCCTGCTGGCCCTCTTGCTCCCACTTTTTATGTGGGTGAAAACCAGAAGCCCATCGCCCTCAGGATCCTCAGGTGAGATCTCCTCCCCACCTCTGGGTGCACCAGCCTGTCTTCTCTCTCCTCCCTAGGGAAGACAGCGCTGCTGCATGCTCTAGCCAGCAGTGACGGGGTGCAGATCCACAACACAGAGAACATCCGGCTCCTACTGGAGGGCGGTGAGGTTCCCTGCCTGCTGCCCGCCGTCCCCCCTCACATTGTGTGGCTCCCTGCCTGCTGCCCGCCGTCCCCCCTCACGTTGTGTGGCTCCCTGCCTGCTGCCCGCCGTCCCCCCTCACGTTGTGTGGCTCCCTGCCTGCTGCCCGCCGTCCCCCCTCACGTTGTGTGGCTCCCTGCCTGCTGCCCGCCGTCCCCCCTCACGTTGTGTGGCTCCCTGCCTGCTGCCCGCCGTCCCCCCTCACGTTGTGTGGCTCCCTGCCTGCTGCCCGCCGTCCCCCCTCACGTTGTGTGGCTCCCTGCCTGCTGCCCGCCGTCCCCCCTCACGTTGTGTGGCTCCCTGCCTGCTGCCCGCCGTCCCCCCTCACGTTGTGTGGCTCCCTGCCTGCTGCCCGCCGTCCCCCCTCACGTTGTGTGGCTCCCTGCCTGCTGCCCGCCGTCCCCCCTCACGTTGTGTGGCTCCCTGCCTGCTGCCCGCCGTCCCCCCTCACGTTGTGTGGCTCCCTGCCTGCTGCCCGCCGTCCCCCCTCACGTTGTGTGGCTCCCTGCCTGCTGCCCGCCGTCCCCCCTCACGTTGTGTGGCTCCCTGCCTGCTGCCCGCCGTCCCCCCTCACGTTGTGTGGCTCCCTGTCTGCTGTCCCCCCTCACGTTGTGTAGCTCCCTGCCTGCTGTCCGCCGTCCCCCCTCACATTGTGTGGCTCCCTGCCTGCTGCCCGCCATCCCCCCTCACATTGTGTGGCTCCCTGCCTGCTGCCCGCCGTCCCCCCTCACGTTGTGTGGCTCCCTGCCTGCTGTCTGCTGTCCCCCCCACACTGTGACAAGGGCTGAAGGCCACTTTGTACTCTGTTCTCATGGCTCTTCCAGGGGCAGACGTGAAGGCCACCACCAAAGATGGGGACACTGTGTTCACCTGCATCATCTTCCTGCTTGGTGAGACTGTCTGTGGGGACAAGGAAGAGGCCCCAATGATCAATCGCTTCTGCTTCCAAGTCACACAGCTGCTTCTGGCGCATGGGGCCGACCCCAGCGAGTGCCCAGCCCATGAGTCCCTCACGCACATCTGCCTCAAGAGCTTCAAGTTGCACTTCCCTCTCCTGCGCTTCCTGCTGGAGTCGGGAGCGGCCTACAACTGCTCTCTGCACGGAGCTACCTGCTGGTCTGGCTTCAGCCTGGTCTTTGAGAGGCTGTGTTCCCACCCAGGCTGTGCTGAGGACGACAGCCACATGGACCTCCTGCATAAGGCAGAGACAGTCCTGGACCTCATGGTCACTAGTTCCCAGAGGCTCCAGCTGCCCGAGAACTTCAATGTCCACCCAGTGGGCAGCCTGGCAGGGAAGATCCAGGCCCTGCACGCCTCCCTGAGGCAGCTGGAGAGCTACCCACCGTCCCTCAAGCACCTGTGCCGTGTATCCATCCGCCTGTGCCTGCGCCCGTGGCCTGTGGATACCAAGGTCAAAGCTCTGCCGCTGCCTGACAGGCTCAAGTGGTACCTGCTCAGTGCGCACAGTGGCACTGAGGAAGACAGCTGCTGATGGCTCCAGGGATGGGACAGTCTGGGAAGGCTGGAGCCAGCCTGAAGATGGACCTGGTTGGTACCTGGGACAGTGTCCAGCAAGTTCTGCCCCTTATTGATTAGAGCCAAGTGGGGTAGTGCCCTGGCAGCCAAAGGCATGTCTTGTTTCCAGGGAGACCTCCGCCTCCTTCCTCAGTTTCAGCCATATTGGAGGGACCAGTGCAGATGGGACTGGGTACCTGCCTCTGCTTCAGGAGTGGTCTGGCTGTTTGCAGAAGCGGAGATGGGGGGGCGGGGGTGGGGGGTCCAGACCCTCAGCAGCTGCTCGGTCTTGTCAGGAGCATGCCTGGGGCTCCTAGAGGCCAGTGCTGCATCCCAGGCCACCCAGTGAGGCCACCACAGGCTGGTCTTCCTGAGTTAGAGGCCTGCCTGACCCTTTAGCCAAGTCATTCAGAGTCCCAGCAAAGGTACCAGGGCTGTGGTGGGTGCACCTCTGCTCCTGCCAAGCTCAGGGCTCAGGGACCGTATCTTCTGCTGGAGTTACAGATATGTATAGACAGGCCTGGCTTTGTGAGGGGCTCCCCTGAACAAATGCACAGGCTGGAAGCAGATTCCACTGTCCAGGGTTGAGCCCTCACATCTCTCACCTTGGCCTTTGTGAGTTGTGTAAATGCCCTTGGGAATGAGGTGATTAAATGATATATTTATAAGGTTAAACTCTGTCCTAGTATGGCAGTTCAACCCTTCAGTTCAAAATATGGGCCCATAGCAACTACTGTGGGTTAGAAAGGAGGCCTTTAAGCCCTCTGGCATCCCTACAAAGCATCACTCCAGACTGGGGAGGGCCTTTTTCAGAACAGGGCTCACACTTTTATTGACTGCAAATACCTGCTCAGGAGGGCCCCCCAGGAGGTGAAGACCAGGAGTAGGCGTTACCCTTTGTGGCTGTCATAACCCCATTAAGAGGGTGGGACTGGCCATTCCTGTAAGTGGCACTGCCTAGCTGTCCTGTCCTCGGGGAACAGCACAGTTCTCACATGATGGGTCTTCGTTGGCCAGGTAAAGGGTGTTTATTTCCCCTTAGGCCAGCTAGGCCCTTGGGTCAGAACTAAGCTTCCGAAATGCCCACTGGGAAGCATCAGGGTGCCTGGGAGTCACAGAGCTGCCCTGTCCTGCTGGTCTCTAGTGCCCAAGTCACAATGCACCTCAGCAGGGCGGCCCCCACCCGCTGGGTCCCATACTGCTTCTTGAAGAGTGTCCATTAATGGATAGCAGGCAGATGTACCAAGTGGTGGCAGGCTGTCGGCCCCTGCCGTGGTCCTGGCCTGCGGTGGCTGAGGCTCATCTCAGGGCGAAGCTATAGACGTGGTAGATCTCATCGGGCAGGTTCTCCTGGCGTTCCTCTGCCAGTAGGCTAAGGCCTGCGCTACGGATGATCCGGCGCACCACCTCCAGGTCTCGGCACACACTGCTGTCCACGTCATCCAGGATCACACCCTCTTGGGCCATGTTATCTTTGATGACAATGATGCCATTGGGGCGCAAACCCCGTTTGCAGCGCCACAGGAACTCAGCCAGGTGCTGATCAGTCAGGTGGCCTGGGAAGGATAGATGCCTGGTTACACTTAGGTGCACGCACCCACCCTTACAAGTATGATGAGAGTCTTGAAGGCCCACTATCGTTTGGGCCCACAAGTGGTTGTCTCTCTTGAGCCCGAGTTCATGTTGGAGGGGCCAGTGTTCTGAGGTCACCCACAAAGCATACACTGAGGCAGAAGCGGAGATTTAACCTGACTGGGCGTCCTCCAGCCCTGCCTGGCATCTACACACCAGGCCACCCACCCCTCCTGGGCCTAGATCAGGAGTGCAGAAAGGACTAGGTTCAGAGTCCACAGCAGAACTAAGCTGTCCCTTGTGAGGGGGTACCTGTCACCAGGTCAGTAGCTCAGAATCAGCATTCTAGGGGCTGTTAGGCCATGTGCACCCTTCTGTCAGAGCCCACACAGGGGTGGGCGCAGTTACACTTTTGATCTCCCCTTAAAACACCCTTGGCAGGCTGGGTGTGGTGGCACATGCCTTTAATCCCAGCGCTCAGGAGGCAGAGGCAGGCGGATCTCTGTGCGTTCAGGGCAAGCCTGGTCTACACAGTGAGTTCCAGGTGAGCTGGGGCTACAGGGAGACCCTGTCTCAAAAAGACCCCCCCCCAAAAAAAATAAAAAAAACACCCTTGGCTTGGCCTGACTTGGTGCATGCTGTGAGTCCACCACTTGGGAGGTGGACCCAGGAGGGCTGAATTTGCAGCCAATCTGGGCTATATAGAGATAAACACAAAAACAACCAAAATTACCCAAAAGTATGTAAAAATAAGCCATTATAAAATTGGTTTTCAGGGCTGGAGAGATGGCTTAGTGGTTAAAAGCACTGGCTGTTCTTGCAAAGAACCCAGGTTCAATTTCCAGCACCCACACAGCAGCTAACAAACATCAGTAACTCCAGTTCCAGGGGATCTGACACCCTCTTCTGGCCTCTGTGGGCATTGCACAACACTGGTGCACTTACATGCAGGCAATACACATAACATAACAAACTATTTTCATGTCTCTGAGTCAGTCACTAGCCACTCTAGTTTATCCACTTGGATGGCCCCTATTCTAGGGAAATCCTCAGAGTGAGATGAGGCTTCGGGCACCTCACCATAGTTCTGGGGAGCTTCATCTCCACTGGCCAGTTCGGTACAGGAGCCTGGCTTCCAAGGGGCAGTGGAAGGACACAGGTGGGCACGGGGAAGCAGGGGTGGGACCCTCACCAATCACCCACTGGATCCAGATGACGTCGTAGGAGTTGGGCTCTGGGCTGAAGTCCTGCAGCCCGCAGCAGAAATAGTTCCTCACCCTCTTGCCCTCCTCCCCCAGGTAGGTCTTGGCTTTGGCTAGAAAGTCCTCGGTCACATCCACCATGTCCACCACCCTGAAGAGCGGCAGGAGCAGCCGCTTGGTGATCCTTCCGATGCCAGCTCCACAGTCCAGGGCACAGGAAGTCCCTGTCTTGTTTGGGCCTTCCTAAAACACAGGGACGTCATATGACCCGTGGGGGCCCCTCACTGCAGGGCCCTCCTCACAAGCCCCAGAAACCCCAATCAGGCCTGGCACTGGCCTGCCAGGGGAGATCAAGTGGAACTCTGGGCCAGCTGTTTCTAAGGCAGAAGAAAACTTCCACTTGAAGGTGACTGCTGCATGACCTGCCACCCCCACTGGAGTCCCCAGGACACCTACAGAAGAAAATGCTAAGAAAATGTGGAGGGGCAGCTGCTGAGCTTGGAGGGGAGATGGTGAGAGGGAGGGGAGGTGTGGAGAGGGGGAAGGCATCCTGCAGGGCTCGCCCCTGGGCCTCAGGCAGACAGCTGCACTATGGGGAGTCATAGGAGGCATTTTGGCAGGGCCTCGGATGCCCACAGCCTGGCTTGTGTCCAGCAGGGGCCGTCGGAAGACCGCTCCGCTCTGGCACCTTTGAGTCCCCAGTGCACAACCAGCTCCTGCCTGGTAACCCTGAAAGAACTTGCAGTGTGGTGTGCAGAAGTGGCTCCCCAGGCAGCCCCACCAGAGCTACAGCCTCTCCTGGAGAGGACTTCACACCTGCCTACCCTCAGAAACCTCTGCAGGAACTTCCGGGAGCTGTTGAGGTCGATGCTGGAGATGTGGCCATACCCCCCAAGCATGCCATCCACCGTGGGCGGGATCTGCTTCCAGTAGGTCTTGGCCTTGGAGTAGAACTGTTTCTCATCTTCAATGACCTCGCTCGTCATGGTGTCACCAGCCACCTCTCTGCTCTCCTGAGGAAGGGAAGAATGAACAGAGCTGGCAGGAAGGAAGGTCTCTGGGGTACAGGCCCCAGGCTTTGAAAGCCACACACCCTGCCTAGCCTAAGCTTCCTTCTATCTTAGAAGATAGCCCCATAGCCCAGTCACTTTGCAAAGCCATCACAGCAAGAGCCTCTGAGGCCTGGTGTCTCATGTCCATGTGACCCCTGACTCAGGAGACCTGCAGCCTCCTGTGGAATCTTGATTTACGTTAAAAGGGAAAGACCCAGAATAGGGAGCCCCTGTCTCCTGCTGCAGACACCCCAGCAGACCTCCAGGAGGCCTGAGGAGCACTAAAAGCCTTTTCTTTTCAGAGAGCTTTGGCTAAGTAAGAAGAGGGGAGAGAAGAACCAGGCGCACGCCCTTGCAGCTAGGAGGACCAGGTCTTAAGGCTACAGTGAGGAGGGAGACTCCACCTGAGGACAGAGACCCAAGGCCCACAGGGAATACTTGAGGTGACATATGTACCTGAACAGGGGTGGACAGCTGTAGAAACAGCAGGGGACAGGGACAAGGGAACCACAGAATGACCACCTGGCCCTTTAGGAAGAGGCGGCTGGTCTGGTGGCTCCACACCAGCATTGCCACATGGTATCACAGAGGACACAACGGTCCTAAGTGCTGGTGCTCCTCTGTCCTGGACACTGTAAGGCTCAGGGACTCACAGTCCAGCGGAAACAGGAGCAGCTATGGCAGAAAGCAAGCCCCGCCCCCACGGCCACGGGGCTGCGTTAAAGGGGACTGTGCACACTCAAGAGAACAGAGGGATCCCTTTTCTTTCGTTTTCAGTACTGGAGCTGGAACCTAGGCCTTGTACAGCTAGGCAAGCACTCCACCACCAAGCTGTGCCCGGGCCCTGCATGGAAGACACCTTTCTGAATGTGGAGCGGGCAGCAGAGAGAGACAGGCAGACAAGGACAGTGGGTGCTGGCAGAGGCCAACAGGCAGGAAGAGGACCCTGAGGGAGACCAGGCCTGGAAGTCAGGCCCACTGGCTTACGGTGCTGAGCGCAGCCAGGCTGTCAGTCCAGGGAAGTACTGACAAGTACTGGAAGTAAGCTTCCAGCTGAAAGGCGTGCCTAGAACCACCCCGGGGTGGCAGAGCGGAGCAGAAACACAAACGGCAGTGGGCTGACGGCAGTGGTGGCTGCGGCTGGGGCACTGCCATCAGAGGGGAGAGCCGGGCCGTGAAAGCAGAACGCCCTGCCAGGGTCCAGGGGCCCTCTCATTGCTCTTCCCACAGGGGCAGCCCTTACCATATAGTTTTTAGCTTAAGTACAGTCTCAAAAAGGCCTTGCCTGACCTGCCTATCTCCAGTGACCTCCTGGAACACTCTGGCGCTTCCTGAAAGTCTGTTGTCTGCCATGTCTACTGTGACTGGAATTCACATTTCCTTATGTCTTCCAGCCACCACAGTAAACCCCTTTGCACAACAGGACCCTGTGTTTGCAGTTCACGTTCCCACCCCCCACCCCGCATCGTGTCTGATGGGACAACGTCATCAACTCTTGGAAAGCGAAGATGTCTCACCCTGGTGCAGAGCCTGGAGGGTAGGGGAGAAAGCTGGGATCTGCCAGGAAGGTGACAGGCCTTGGAGCCTCAGGTCTCTCCTCTCCCGCCTGCACAACAGGGACTGGCAGTGTCGTCCCTGAGCACTGGAGCCACGGGTCAACACAACAATCAGCCTGGGAATCTACAAACAAGAAAGCAAACCCAGTGACCAAAGAGACCAAAACCTGAAAAGGGACACGGGCTGGTGTGAGGTAACTTGTGACAGGAAGGGAGAGGGATGAAAAGCTGAGTGGCCGTGTATGTCACCAGCCCTGAATGCACAACTGCCCTGGGCCTGCCTTAAAGGGGAACCCCCAAAGCCACCGCCAACCGGGGGCCAAGCGGGTAGAGACCACTCCAGTCACATGCAACTCTGTCTTTAGGCAGCCAGTGGGAACACGGTGGGCCACCACAGCTACCACAAGCACCAGGTAGCAGCCTCTCTTCTCTCCAGACCCGGCTCCTCCAGTGTTCTTTGAGGACAACTTGAGGGACGAGAAAAGAGCTGACCACATCCACATGCCCTCTTGGGTCCAAGTCCTCCTTAGATACGGGATTCACAGAGCCCGTTCCCATGGGCCAGAGAAGCCTGCTTGAATCCTGCTCAGGATTCCTTTTGTGGTGCTGGGGACTGCCTGCACCACCTCACACTCTTCTATTATTAAAAATTAAATATTTTTATGTGTACAAGTGTTTTCCCTGCATGTATATAAGTGCACCATGTGCATGCAATGCCCATAGAGGCCAGAAGGCATCAGTTCCCCCTGGAACTGGAGTTACAGATGGTGGTGAGCGCCATGTGGTGTTAGGACCCAAACCCAGGTCTTCTGGGAGTAGTCACTGCTCTTAACTGCTGAGCCCCCACTTTAGACTTTTTTTTTTTTTTTTTGGTCTTTTTGAGACAGGGTCTCCCTCCCTGTAGCCCCAGCTGGCCTCGAACTCAAGAGATCCACCTGCCTCTGCCTCCCAAGTGCTGTGATTAGAGGTGTGTGCCACCATGCCCTGCCCCCACTTTAGACTCTTGAATCAACTCACTTTGAGCCCACAACTGCCCTCTTCAGGTACAACGGTGTGGGGCCAAAGGAAGACACCCAGCCATCATGCACCTCAAGGGGCCTTTGGGAAAACAGGCTGAGGGACTTTGGTTCTAAATATTGTACTCCCTCTCTGGCTCACCACAATGCTCCCTACCAGCATCCCAGTGCCAGGAGCATGACCTGGGGAGAGTGTGCTTCTGAGAATAGATTCCTTCAACTGTGAGGTCTGACCAACAGAGAAATGTGGAACCTGCCAGTCCCAAATATTTCCAGCTGTGGATGCAGGACAGTTCTGGGCTCCCTTAGGGCTAGCTGGACAGGGGCTGCCAGCCTGAATGTCACCGCGTACCTGAAGCCTAACAGGGTAAGGACCTGGGACAAGTGGGCTGCCTGGCACCTCGCCAATGACCATGTCGCAGCCCCCAGAGACCACCTCCAAGGGCAGCAGGTAGACTTCTTCACACCACACCACAAACAGCTGGCCCACTTAGACTGGAGCCCAGCAACCAGTCATCCCCTGCTGCCTGTATGTCTTAACAAATTTTCAGATTTATTCAATGAGTGTTCGGGGCTGCAGCCATTTTCCACTTTAGAAGGCTCCTCCACCCTTCCAAAGGGATGGCACTGCAGGATGTTACCAACAAAATCACTTTTTGCTTTACCAAAAACCTTACAACATGATTCCTTTAAATGTCAAGCTCCCCTGAAAAATCTAATTTACAAGAATCCCACTTGCACTCAGATTCTAGGAAGCAGCCAGGGGAGGCACAACCAGGCCGGGAAACAGCAAATCTAATGGCTGGCTCTTGAAGCTGATTTGTGAAGTGTGTGTCTGGAGGCCCTGTTTACACTTGGATCTCTAGTGTCCACTGAGTGGACAACGAGGCTCCTGGGAGTCAGGGGGAGCAGCAGGAATCTCCCACACCATGCTCCAGAGCAGAGTGAGGCACCATGTGGCCACAGGTGGGAACGGGTGGGGCAGTGCTGCTGTTATGTGTATCCTGGGTAAGCTCATGGGTAGCCAGCCTTTGCTCGGGGTGTCTTCTCAGGGGCAGAGGAGGCCTGTACACCCTGAGGCCATCTGGGCAGTCACCCTGCTACATCTCCTCTCTCAGGACCCAAGAGAAGAAAACCATGCAGGTGGCAGCAGGCCTCTGAGGTCGTCGCTCCTCCTCCGCTCCTCCTCCAGGGACGTGCCTATGAAAAAGCCTGAAAGAACTGAGGCCGAAAACTCGCCTCAAGTCACAGCCTCCTTCAGACAGCCTGAGGGTCGGAGCCTGTTCTGGATCCGAGTGGACAGCAGCTGGTGTGTTTTCTTTTTTAAAAAAAGTCAAAGCACTCTGGGAGGGAGGGGGAGAGCAGGGAAGATGGACCTGATAAGGGGAGGCTGAGTACACACAGGGGTAAACTTTAGAGACTAGAGGGCTGGAGAGAAGGCTTGGCTCGTCCGTGAGCCCTTGCTGCTCTTGCAGAGGACCCAGGCTCAGTTCCCAGCACCCACACTGATGCCCTCTTCTGGTCTTCCAGGGCACAAGGCACACACATTATACACATACACACATGCAGGCAAACACATTCACAAAAAAATAAAAATAGAGGCTGGAGAGATGGCTCAGTGGTTAAGAGCACTGACTGCTCTTGGAGAGGACCCGGATTCGATCCCCAGCACCCACATGGCAGCTAACAACCGTCTGTAACACCAGTTCCAGGGGATCCGACACCTTCTTCTGACCTCTGATGGCACTGCACAACACGGGTACACTTACACACATGCAGGAAATACCAGCATAAAATATTTTTTTAAAAAAAGTTTAAGCTACAGCCTGGTCTACATAATGAGTTCCAGGCCAGCTGAGGTTACGGAGACCCTGTCTCAAAAAAAGAGCGGGGGAAAAAAAAAAAAAATTTAAGCTGGGTGTGAAGACACACGCCTTTAATCCTAGCACTTGGGAGGCAGAGGCAGGCAGATATCTGAGTTCGAGGCCAGCCTGGTCTACATAGTGGGTTCTAGGCCAGCTGGGGCTACAGAGAGACCCTGTCTAAAAGAAACAACAAAAATTTAAAAATAAATAAATTAAATAAAAATAGGGGCTGGAGAGATGGCTCAGTAGTTAAGACCACCGGCTGTTCTTACAGAGGATCTGGGCTCAGTTCCCAGCACTCATGGTAACTAAAAATGGTTTATAACTCCAGTTGCTGGGATCACCCTATTCTGGTCTCTGTGAGCACTGCATGCACATATGCAGGTCAAAAACTCATACACATAAAAATAAATTAATTAAAAACAAAAATCTAACAAAGGCCTGACAGCCAGGCAAACCTGGTCTGAATCTTGGCTCTGCATACCAGCTGTGTAAGGTCAGCTAGGGTGCCTCGCTTAGTATGTCCACACATGCTTACAATCCTAGCATTCAGGAGGCTGAGACAGGTTGATCAGGAGTTCAAGAAAACAAAAACAAAAGCAAAGTTTTTAAAAGCTGGGCTTGGTGGCACACACCTTTAATTCTAGCACTTGGGAAGCAGAGGCAGGTGGATCTCTGTGAGATCAAGGCCAGCTTGGGCTACTGGTTCCAGTCCAGCTGTGGCTATAGGGAGACTGTCTCAAAACAAAAGAAAACAGCTCTGTTAATAGAGTGCTTGCTTAGCATGCACAACGCCCTGGGTTCAAGCTCCAGTGCCCCATAATGTGGGCATGATGGTGCAGGCCTATAATCCCAGCATTCCGGAGGTGGAAACAGGACAGTAAGAAGTTCAAAAGTCATCCTTGGCTATAAAGTGAGTATGAGGCCAGGGAGAGAGAGTGCATCAAAAAAAAAACAAATTCAAAAAAAAAAAAAAGGAAACAACCTGGGCTGGAGATATAACTCCATGGTACAGTACTCACCTAGCATACACAACATACATACATGCATACATACATACACATGGTACAGCACTCACCTAGCATACACAACATACATACGTGCATACATACATACACATGGTACAGTACTCACCTAGCACATACAACATACATACATACATACACATGGTACAGCACTCACCTAGCATACACAACATACATACATACATGCATACATACATACATATGGTACAGTACTCACCTAACATACACAACATACATACATACATAAATCCTTAACTTCAGTGTTCTTCTGTGCTTTTGTTCAATGCGAACAGCAGCACTGAACTTCATGGAAAGGCTGTGGTGATAAATGTGCCACAGAAATCTGATGCATTCCAGGGTGAGAGGCACACACTCTCTTGAGTTTAAAGATCTCAAATGAGGGCTAGAGAGATGGCTCAGTAGTTAACTCAGAGTTGGCTGTTCTTGCAGAAGACCAGGGTTCGATTCCCAGCACCCACATGGCAGCTAACTACATCTGTAACTCCAGTTCCAGGGGATCTGATGCCCTCTTCTGACCTCTTTGGGCACTGCATGACATGGGTGCACTTACAAACACACAAGGATAATAACACTCATACACAAAATAAAAATTAATTAAAAAAATACAAATAAATAAAAAGCTCTTTTTTGCAGCACTTACTAGGTGGCAGGCTGCATCAAGACGAGGCTCAATATCTCCTTCCCTGCCATCAGCTGTGAGAAACTCACTGGACAATGAACACAAACTTTCTGTGAGGAGCTCATGGTCACAAAAGTGGCTGCTGATGCCCTGGGTGAGGAGTGGAAGGGTTGTGTGGTTCAAATCAGTGGTGGAAATGACAAGGTTTTCCCACGAAGCAGGGTGTCTTGACCCATGGCAGAGTGTGCCCACTGTTGAGTAAGTGGCATTCCTGTTATAGACCAAGGCCGACTGGAGAGAGAAAGCTCAAGTCTGCTCAAGGATGCATTGTGGATGCCAATCTAAGTGTTCTCAACTTGATTATTGTTAAAAAAAAAAAAAGGAGAAAAGGATATTGCTGGACTGACTGATACCACTGTAGCACGGCGGCTGGGGCCCAAAAGAGCGAGCAGAATCCAAAAACGTCTCAGTCTCTCTAAAGACGATGATGTCCAACACTATGCTGTCAGAAAGCCCTGGAACAAAGACCATAGGAAGCCCAGGACCAAAGCACCCAAGATTCAGCGTCTTGTTACACCGCGTGTTCCGCAGCAGGAGCACTGACAGAGTGCTCAGAAGAAACAGGAAAAATGAGGAGGCTGCAGAAACTGCCAAATTGTTGGTCAAGAGAATGAAGGAAGCCAGAGAAAAACACTAGGAACAGACTGCCAGGACACAGGCTGCCCTCACTGAGCGGGTCTACTTCCAATCTGAGTCTAGTCAAAAATAATCTTCAAAAGTAACAAACATGATCAAACCTTGAAACATAAATAAAAGCAAGACCTCAAATGAGTGACAGAAGAGGTGGTTCAGCCATTAAGAGCACTTGCTGCTCTGGCAGAGGGCCAAAGTTTGGTGGCTCACAACCACCTGTAACTCTCCAAGGGATCCCATGCCCTCTTCTGGCCTTGAAGGACACTGAACTCAAGAGTGTGTGCGTGCACACATGAAGTTTTTTTTTTAAACAAACAAAAAAAAGATTCCAAATGATATTCTCAGGATATCAAAGGAGAAAAAGAATGCACTGAAATCCTAGACGCCAGGAGGGCTGGGATCCACCTAAGAGGTTACAACCAGTGTACTTGATGGTCCATCCAACAGATGGTGGGGGTGGGATGAGGGTGCGCTTCCCTCCCTCTAGGCCCAGAACCACTGCACAGGTTGAAAACATTGACCTCTTGAACCTGCTGCTTCTGGCCTCCACCAGGGCGCCCCACTAGCACCCTACCTCCAGCCTTCCCACAGCTCCCAGTTTACAGACAGGAAAAACGGGATTAAAGGAAGTGATACGCCCTAACACACCAGTGACACAGGAAACCTGGCCCGGAATTAAGGACAGGATCTAGGTTCCTTATGGTAGTCCTGGTCCCATTTCACTGGGGGACTATTCTATGCACCCCAACCCTCAGCTACACTGCCCCATCCCACGCAGGGCCTCTGACACCAGCTGTTCCAAAGGCCCAGAGGGGAAGAGCCAACAATCGTACAGTTGGTTGGCCAGCAACTGGGCTTTTCGAGACGGCAGGGAGGCTGACCTTGGCCCCAAGGGCTCCTGACAGTAGCTGTTTTTTTGACCCGCACCTGTGTCGACCATAGCTGGGGCTAGACCCAAGGTTAAACATGACAGCACCCGGCAGGCAACTATCAGGATATTAGCCAAGCTGTTTCCCCCACCCGGCAAGGGAGCTGGTGCCTTCCTAATCCCCGGTTCTCAGCGGGGAAACTGAGGCCCAGGAAGGGGCTTGCCTAGGCGCGCAGGGAGTGTGTCCTACTCAGCCCGGGAGCGTGGCTTTCTTCTATCCCCGGTCCCCACAGGCCCTGCCCAGGTCTGGCCAGTCAGAGGACCGCCCAGAACACTCGTGTGGCGCAGGCCCGGGTCACGTGACCACCCGGCCGCGGCAGTTGGGAGGGGGTGTCCCCGCCTTCTCCCAGCGGCTGCGTCCTCTCCGCCTGCCTCGTGCTACTCACCCCGGGCGGCGGCTGCCGAGACCCGGGAGAAGAGGGTAGGGCAGGACGGCGCGGGGACCCGGGAGCCCTACCGTGCCAGACCCCTCTCGGCTGCTGCCTTTGTCCGCACACGTCACTTCCCGGGGCACTGAGGGGCGGGCCCAAGTATGGGCACGCCCCGTGACCGGCTAGCCCCGCCCCTGTCCACGAGGGCTCGCTCTACACACAAGCAGCTTGCCGCGCCCCACGGCCGACTCGCCCCGCCCACCACCAACTCTCCCCGCCCCACGGCCACGTAGCCCCGCCCCGAGGTCGGCTCTCCCCGCCCACTACCAGAGCGCCCCGCCCCCTCGGCCCGCTCGCTCGCCCCGCGACCAGCTCGCCCCGCCCAGCTGCTAGAATGCCCCGCCCCACGACCATATAGCCCCGCCCACCCTGCGAGCGGCTCGCCCTGCACGCAGCTACCTCGCCCCATCTCTGGGCCGGCTAGCCCCGCCCTGCCGCCGGATGGCCCCGCCCCGCGGCCCGCTCCGCTCTTGCCACGCACAGAGCAGCTCGCCCCTCCCCGTGGGCTCCTAACCTGCTGACCTCCTGGACTTCGGGACTTGAAGGAGCCGCCCCCATAGTCTCTCCCCATCTCCAGCACGTGCACCAGTCCACTTGGATCTTTTCAAGGGTTTCAGAGTGCTGGCTCAACTCCCGTTATCCTTTTGGGCCAGCATCGGGATGGCTGGATTATTTTATTTTTTGTTTTATTTTATTTTTGTGTGTGTTTTAAAAAAATATTTTATTTATTATTTTTATTTTATGTGTATGAGTGTTAAACCTGCATGTATGTGAGTGCACTCATGTCGTCAGATCCCCTGGGACTGGAGTTACAGTTGTTAGCTGCCATGTAGGTGCTGGGATTCGAACCTCGATCTTCTGCAAGAACAGTCAGTGTTCTTAACCTCTGAGCCATCTCTCCAGCCTCTCTTTTCTTTTTTAAAATTTGTTTTTTATTGCATTTTTATGTATTTCATACAGAACATCTCAAACAATCCTAATCATCTTGTACCCCTGTCCCCACCAGCACCCTTCCATACCCCTCCCACTGGAGCCTATATAGTCTGTCATCCCTGTTAAGGTCCTGTATCAAGTCAATGTCTTTAGATGTTCCCCAGTGTAAGTCCATCCACTGAGGTCTAGTCAACTTATCTAGATTTTTTTTAAAAAAAACTTTATGTATTTTGCCTGTGTGTATGTATGTGTGTGCAATGACTGCAAGACTATTAAGTGCTTTTAACCACTGAGCCATATCTTCAGCTGCCCTACCTACATACTTATAATTTAATAAAATAAAAATTCTAAAAATTTCTACCTTGGCCAGGTGTAATGGTATACACCTTTAATCCCAGAACTTGGAAGGTGAATGAAAGTGGATCTCTGTGAGATCGAGGCCAGCCTGGCTGGTCTACACAGCCAGTTCCATACTAGCTGGGGCTGCATAGAAATCCTGTCTCAAAAAACTAACTAACCAACCAACCAACCGACCATGTCTACCTTGAGTGGGGGTGTGGCTCATTTAGTAGGCTGCCTTCCTAGCATGCCCAAAACCCTGGGTTCATGGACTGGAGTAATGACTCAGCGGTTAAGAGTGCTGGCTGCTCTTGCAGGACCCAGGTTCAAGTCCCAGCACCCACACGGCAGCTAACAACAATCAATAACTCCAGTTCCAGGGGATCCAATGCCCTCTTTTGACCTCCACTGGTATTGTATGACATGGGTGCACTTATATACATGTAGGCCATACACTCATACACATAAAATAAAAATAATAAATTTTAAAAATATTAAAAAAAAATACCTGGGTTCAGTCCTCAGCACCACGTAAAACCAGGTGTGGGTGGCTCACACCTGTAATGCCAGTACTTGGAAGGTGGTGGCAGGAGGATCAGGAATTCAAGGTCATCCTTGGCTACCTAGTAAGTTCCAGGACAGTCTGGGCTACATGAGACCCTGTCTCAATAAATAAATAAATGAAAGAAAGAAAGAAAGAAAGAAAGAAAGAAAGAAAGAAAGAAAGAAATTTCCTCCTCCACTCAATATTGTAAGTTCCAGAGGAAATATGCACCCCAACCCCAGGGAAGAGCGTCAAAGAAAATGGAATATCTCTTTTTTTTTTTTTTTTTGGTCTTTTTTGAGACAGGGTCTCCTTGTAGCCCCAGCTGTCCTAGAACTCACTATGTAGACCAGGCTGGCCTTGAACTCACAAAGATCTGCTTGCCTCTGCCTCCCATGTGCTGTGGAATACCTCTTTTAAAAAAAATGTGCTGGGGGTGGTGGCCTTCACCTTTAATCCCAGCATTCAGAGGCAGGTGGATCTCTGTGAGTTCAAGGCCAGCCTGGTCTACATAGTGAGTTCCAGGTCTGCTGGGGCTCCAGGGAGACCCTGTCTCAAAAAGACAAAAAAAAAAAAAAATGTGTATGAGTGTATTATCTGCATGCACACACAAGTGTACCAGTGTCCTGCAATGCCTGAGGAGGTCAGAAGAGGACGTCAGATCCCCCGGAACTGGAGTTACAGACAGTTCTGAGATGTGGGCACTGGGAACCGCAGTCAGTACTCTTAATTGCTGAGCCATCTCTCCAGCCCCTTTAAATTTTTTTTTTAACTTATAAAAATCTTGAGCCTCACATGGTGGTACACACTTTTAACCCCACTTTTAACACTCAGGAGGTTGAGGCAGGTGGATCACTGTGAGTCTGAGGCCAGCTTAGTCTACATAGTGAGACCTTGTCTCAAAAAAAAGGGGGGGGGGTGCCGGTGCCAGCCGGCCAAGACGGACAGTACCTGAAAGGGGGAGTGAGGATTGAAAGAAAGAAAAAGAGACAGGAAAGATGCTTGGGAGGACTGACAGTGAATACTGCAGCCCC